GGCGGCCGCGCGCGGGGCGCCATGAAGCGCGCGCACGGCGAGAGCTCCTCGTCCGAGAGCGAGGAGCTGGACGAGGCCGTGGAGGTGGCGAGGGAGAGCGCGGAGGAGGCGGGCGCCGTGTCCACGAGCTCGCAGATCCTGGCCAGGAAGCGGCGCCGCGGGGTGAGTGGCGGCGCGCGGGGGGCTGCGGGGCGCCCGGAGCCCCTCACGCAGCCCCCTCTGTGCCCTAGATCATCGAGAAGCGCCGCCGCGACCGCATCAACAACAGCCTGTCCGAGCTGCGCCGGCTCGTGCCCAGCGCCTTCGAGAAGCAGGTGGGCGCCGCCGCGGCCCCGCGCCCGTCCCTAGCGCCCCTAACGCCCCTAACGCCCCTAACGCCTGCGCTTCCCCCCGCGCAGGGCTCGGCCAAGCTGGAGAAGGCGGAGATCCTGCAGATGACCGTGGACCACCTCAAAATGCTGCACACGGCGGGCGGGAAAGGTGAAGCGCTGGCGCCGGACAGCGCCGGAGCGGAGCCCGCCCTGGGGCGGCATGCGGGCGCGGAGACGGCGCCGCCGTGTCCCGGGTCCCCCAGGGCAGCCCCGAGTGTCCCGGGTTCCCCACGGGAGCCCCGAGTGTCCCGGRTCGCCACGAGGAGGGAGCGAGGGCTCCCGCCGCCAGGGAAGCCCCGCGGCCGAGTCGTTTCGCAGCGAGGGCTCCGGGTTGTGCTTGGGGAGGAGGGTTGCAGGTCCCTGCGCCTGGGCACCAGCGCAGTGGTGTGACTTGGCAAGTGGGAAAGCGCAGGAGYTGTGGCATTGCTAACCGCTGTTCGCCTCTCTGACTCTTGGAAAACTCCGAGCATAAGAAGTCAAAAATTACTGGATGAAATGAGTCGGTGAAACGTGCTTTTTGGGGGGAAAAAGGTCACCTGCAAGAGAGTCCTCTGCTAAGTTAACACTCRTGTTTCTAACACGTTTCTCTGTGCTGTAGCTTTGCTTGCATAGCGGGGAGAAGGGGAGCACTTTCCTGCAGTGGCAGTGTGCAATTTCAGCTTGAAAGGCTGCTCTGTGACCAGTCTCGGGTCTTGGAGCATCAGAGAGGAGATACAAAAGAAATAGCCTTGTTGGGCAAAGAGGAGGAAAAGGAGCTTGGAAGCTAGTCTATGGTTAGGAAAAATACCCACATCCAGGTGGAATACGCTTATGGGGAAGAGTGGAGCAGAGAGGCTGCATGTAGATAATGCCTAGGAAGCTGTGTTGAGATGCCCTTTTTCTTCTTCCTTTTCCTAGGCTATTTTGATGCCCATGCTTTGGCAATGGACTATCGGAGCCTGGGGTTTCGGGAGTGCCTGGCCGAAGTGGCTCGATACCTCAGCATCATCGAGGGCCTGGACGCCGCGGACCCGCTGCGCGTGCGGCTCGTGTCCCACCTCAACAACTACGCGTCGCAGCGGGAAGCGGCGGGCGGCGCGCACGCCGCCCTCGGACACCTCCCTTGGGGCGCCGCCTTGGGACCCCACGCGCCCCTGTCGCACCCGCTGCTGCTGCCCCCGAGCGGGCCCGGCGGCGCCGCGCCGCCCGCCGAAGCCCATGCCCAGGGCCGCATGGCCGCGCCGCACGCCGAAGCCTCCTCCCTCAGGGCGCCCCCGAACGGCAGCGTGGCACCCGTGCTGCCCGTGGTCACGGCCGCCTCCAAACTGTCCCCCCCTCTGCTCTCCTCCATGGCCTCGCTCTCCGCCTTCCCCTTCTCCTTCGGCTCTTTCCACCTGCTCACGCCGGGCGTGCTGAGCCCGTCGGCGCCGGCGCAGCCCGCGAACCTCAGCAAACCRTACAGACCGTGGGGCACGGAGATCGGCGCCTTCTGAGGACGGCGGCCGCGCCAGGGTGGGCAAGGCGCCCGCCCGCCTCGGCTGCCTCACGCCGCGCTTAGAACTGAAATTCTTGATAGACTGGGACAAAGGTACAGTTTCACCTTAACARAGTTTGTCTAGAGAACTGTCTCCTTGGGGGTTTGTTTTTTTTCTTGTTTTCTACATTTTTTTGTATTAGCGGTTTTTTAAAGAAATAGTTGCTGAATTTGTCCAAAAATAAAATTGCAGTAGTGGATGTTAACACTTGTGTTAGATCTATGCTGAGCATTGAAATTACTCCTTGTGTTCGCTTCACATGTTCCGTTTTGCCTCAGTGCATCAGCCCTCCTTTTTATGAAGAAATGAGTAAATTGCCTACTACTGTTAGCAACAGCTTAGCTTGGTTATTAATTTTTCCCAGACCAGTCTCCTTGGCATTAATAAGATGTGCTTTTTTGTTAATATTTTGACCTTGAGATGGTCTGTGAGGACTTACCCTTTTTGTGAACTATATTTTGAGTCTTCTATTTCTGAACAAAGCGTTGACAAATCAGACTGACCAGCTTTATCCAAGAGCCCGATTCTTATGTCTTCTGCAGCGGTTCGGTCTTCCTTGAGTCCCTGGTGGGTGCCTGTTCACATCACAGAATCACTGCACTGTTTCTTCCACCAAAAGCAGTAGCATGGACAAACTCTGGAAGCAGCAGGATGCAAAAGCCGGATTACGAGTTACATTGGTAGTGGGCTTAGTTGTTGGGCATGCGATGGGAAACAAATTGTCACCTGCCATAATTTCCTGTCCAGAGCAAGAATATGGGCCAAATTCTGCCCTGAATTGTAATTACCCTGTCACACCATACATGTGGGAAACTGCAGTGAGTCTTCCTCCCYGAGCTTCAAGTTTGTCCCTGAAACAAATCATGTCTGTGCCTAAGTAGCCAAGAACAGTGGCACCCTGTTCACTGCGCAGCCGCGTTGCTTAATGAGTGTATTTAACGGGTTGGTTTTTCTGTTGCATTTAACTCCTAGGTGCAGTTCAGTGCCGCTGCTCGCTTTATAAGGACTCTGCTGCATTTCTGTGTGTGCGAGTGTGTGCACGTGTGTGTGCTTGCACACGTGTGTGTGTGTGTGTGTGTGTGTGTGTGTATGCTTGGGTTGCTTTCCTAAGGGTCTTACCTGAACAGATTTATTTAGTGAGTTCCACTGGACTGGGTTTGACTGCTCTTGTATTTGTGTTGCGGCTAAATAAAGGAGAAAGAACAAAGTATTTTAAATAACATGTTTGTCTTGTGTGTGTCAGTGGGGGATTTTCCAGGGGGAATGATGCAGAAATGCCACTTAGTCTTCCTGTGGACATACGCTTAACTTTGTTTTTATCGATTATTAACAGTATGCTTCGCTACWCTAGCTGGGTACATAAAGAGGCCCTGTGCCTCAGAATAGCAACCAGAGAAACTTCAGGGTAGGTTTTGTGAGTTACTTTTATTTGCCTAACTAYGTGGGGGCAAAAGTAGAGCAACATTACTGCTAAAGAAGATATTGAAGCTGTGTTGCACCTGGTATACTTATTACTTCGTCTTAATATTAAAAAGAATATATTCTCTGCGCATGTGGAGCCCTTTTCTAACTCAGGAAATATTTTATCTGTAGCTCTGTGGTAAAGTTCTGTACACAGAAGTCCAGTTCCTGCCCTATGCGTTAGTGCAGTATCTACACAAGGTGGGGCAGGGTGGCATTGCTGGCACCTTGGGTACTGTGCTTTTCCTCAGAGCAGCATCCTGGGGYGGGCAGGGAGGGAAGGTTTTCTCCCCAAAGCAAACGTGTCCTACCTCTCCCCACAGAACTTCAGTGGTTCAGCCGGGAAGCTCCCCGCTTCTTCCCTGTGCGTTTCACTTTATAGGATGGTAAATGGCACATGTGTGACTGGATTTAGCTCCTCCAGAGCAGTGGAAAGGGTGCTTGGACTGGTGGGAGAAGAGGGATTTGTCCAGGGTGAACTGGCTCTTGGGCCAGTTCAGGGGTGTCAGTGAGGGGAGCGAGGAGAGGACTAGGCTTTCCTGGGAGGGTCACCTTTAGTCAGGAGAGTGGGAATTACATCCACTCCAGTGCGTAACCAGGTTTCACTTTCTGAGGCTGCAGAGACCAGTGCTAGATGTGAAAAAGAAAATAGAAATTGTGGTACCTGGCAATACATATGAGTTACTGAGGAGAAATTACAGGGCATGATGTTTCATGTACGCACCTGAAAGGAGAGTCTTTAAAATTCAAAATCCAATTTCCTTTTCACACTATATATTGTCTCCTATTCAGTTACTCTGCCCTGTCCTAATAGGTCTTTGTGCCAAATTAACAGGTCCCTACCCAAAAGATTGCTATGGTGCATGCAACTATTCATCGGGTCTTTTACTAAATGGCAATGCTTCTCAGCCTTTAACCRGTTATTTCACTGACATTTAAGTGACTTTGTCTGCCTTTAAGTACCTCGCTCTTTTGTGTAAAGAGACCCCTATAATTATTTCTGTCCAACTGTCCCCATCTTGAATGAACTTCAGAAATAGACTGCAGTAAAAGTTTAGCTACTAGTGTTTGTCCAAGTACCCACTGTGATCTCTTCCACTTACRATTGGTAAAGATACCAACAGAAAATACTGTTTTTATTAAATTTTTGCAATAAATCAATACCATTTTCCAGAGACTCACAGAGGAATGAGTTCTAGATCGTGATGAAGCTAAAAAATCGAAAGGAAAAAGCATGTCCCAGAAACTGAAGCACCAGGGCCAAAGTCCGGGGCTCTGTTCCCATTTGTGCTGCTAACTTGGTACATCATGCTTAGCAGTCACTTACTCCATATCAATTTGTCTCCTGTAAAGAGAGAGGCCAGTACCTGTTCTCTCATCAGGAGACAGTGGGAGATGAAAAATTTCCATACCAATGACAAGTGCTGCTTTTTCTCAAATATGGTACAGAAAGATTTTGTCATTTTTCTTTCTCAGAAGATGCCAGGCTTCTGAAGACAGACTGAGGAAGGCAGAACAGGCTCTCTCTTCCAGACAACAGATAGATGCTGAGCTTCAAATATTTTTGTTTATACCTGCTTACCCTACTGTAAAGAAGAAAAACCAAAACCAAACCAAAAATCAAAACCAAAACAACAAACAACAGTTACAGGAGCACAGGCTTAGCTGGAGAGATGGCAGAGAAGGAAGGAAATGAATATTTGACTTGATCCCATGACCCGCAGTCATTCAGTCACTTTGGATGAATGAAACACTTTGGATGTCTGTCCAGAAATCCTCCAACTGAAGCTTTGTGTGGGCTGTAAGATGATGCAGTGTTTCATGTAAGCAACTATTACCATCCTTTGTGGAGGAAGCTGGGTTTGAGCRCTGAATAAGTTTAAGAAACTGGTAAATACTGCATAAAACCAGCTGCAAATCTTTGGAAATCCATTCCGTGCACTGACAGAAAGGTATAGGTCATGGAACTGACATTTTTTAGCTTTTGGGGAGAAAAAACAAAGAAGCTGTCAGCAGCTCTTAGGGCACTTTCTATTCAGCGCTCCAGTCTTACACTAGTAGCTTGCCACTGTTTATTAGGATCATGTTGTAAGATAAGAAAAAAAAAAAAGTGAACCCTGGCTATTGCTGTCTTCAGGGGCACATCAGCAAGCGAGTCTGCAGGTGACAGAAGCCCTCCAACTGCCGCTTGGTTGGGGAGCCCAGCTGGGATTTTCCAAGCAGCAGACAAGCCTGTGTGAGCATAGATAAACTGAACCCCTTCCTCCTGCTCTGTGCTGCACGTCTGTTTGCAAGCAATTCTTGAATCTCCCACTTCGGACTGTAACGCATCCAACGCTACCATGTCCTTGTGTTGACCAGCCTTGGTCCAGCCTGTGTCCTTGTGTTGGCTGTGTAGAGCACTGGGAGCCTCCCTCTTTCTCCACTTGACCAGCTTATAAATCACAACTAGAACCGTCCCTTTCTTCTGGAACCAGAATATGCTGACACTGACTCATGCTTACTACACAGTAGCTTGGCTGGTGCAATAAAGGTTAAAACACTAGTGTTGAGTAAAATATGGAAATGTGAAGGTGTGTTTTGAGGAGTCTTCAGAGTTCATTTGGTGATTTTCTTTTTCTTTTTTTTTTTTTTTTTAAGGTTGTTCTCAAGTATAATATATAACTCTCTCTTATTCTATTGAATCCCACGTACTTTTTTAAAAAACAAATTCTATTCATCAATCTATTAGTTCATACAGCATGAAAGCCTGGAAGAACCTGCCTTGTCCTAGAGCTATGCCCAGACCTTCCCATAGGCCTTCCCATAGAACCTCATAGACAGAGGTTCTCTTCCAGCTGTGTGCTGATCTTTAATGTATCATGTAACACAGCTCCTAATGCAATAGGGGCTTCTCTAAGTGCTCAAAACTTGGTCTGCTTACAGATCCCTGCTGCCTATAGGACAGCTCTTCTTGCAGAGCTCTGAACTGCATTGCATCATTTGGTCCTTTTCAGAGCCTTTTATCAGGTTGAAGAAGCCTCCTGGGGAGGAAAAGGGAAGAGCTGGAGCAGGGCTTCTGGTACATCTTCTGTGCCCATTGGGGCAACTTCAATGCCTGCAGACCTCTGCTCATCACTTCCCTCTCTCTGCACTGCAAAGTTCTCCTGGGGCTTGCTGGACACGGGCAATAGCAGTGAGTTAAATGCTGTCTTTATGTGCATTTCTCTGTTTTGTGCTGTTCTCACAGGAAAAAAATAAAAAAGGATGCTGAGTAGAAAACTCGGAGGAACTGCTCTGGGGAGAGAATGGCAGAGAGCAGGAAGGCTAATGTGCAGTATCACAGGAAAGCTGCAGCTTAGGAGAGATGGATAAAGAGCTGCATTGTTTGCATTGCCCGTTGCAAAGACAGGCAAATGACTGATGTAAGATGACAAAATAAATGGCACACAAATAGTTAAATGGTTCAGAGTGGGGAAGGTAATATCCTTAATAATCATAACTTTTCTCAATAAGCTAGCATTAGGTGAGCAACATGCTAATACTGAGATGTATAATTTAAAACYAGTGAGTTGCTGAAACAAGTGCGTGTGAATGTCTTCATCTAATTTGATGGGTCATGTCACTGAGCAGCGAGGAAACACA